ATGGCACTGGCCATGTGACCTTTGACCAGGGCCTTCACACCTCTAACCCTTTCCTCAGGTATGACATAACAAGACCTACCTTCAGAGGTGAAATCTAAACTGGGAGATAAGCATGCAGTGAGGGGTGGGCTCAGATCAGCGGAGCTGAGTGGACCCCACAGACTCATCTTTTTTTCCCTGGGCTGTTCAAGTCACAACTCTTAACTACGCAGCTCTTTTTCTCAGATTTTAATGACTGAGGGGAAAACAGCAGATAACAACAGAGATCTGCTACTGTTTTGTTTTTTTGCTTAGACATTCTTTTTAGTGTTCTATTGATTTCACCTATTCCTCCCTTTTTAATCTAGCTTTTATTATTTTATGCCTTTGTCTTTTCACAATGTATCCTTCTAAAGTCTAAAGTAATGCAAATTTATACCACCAAGGTTTCTCAAAGGGTAAAGTTCCTATCTCAAAGGGATGTACGTATGCCTTTGTCTTTTCACAATGTATCCTTCTAAAGTCTAAAGTAATGCAAATTTATACCACGAAGGTTTCTCAAAGGGTAAAGTTCCTATCTCAAAGGGATGTACCGTAGGACTGTTAAACTGCCTGGGCCATGTGATTATCCTCTCTCCACCTGGCTCCTTTCCTCCTAAAGTGGTTTCTTTTCTGCTATTCTCCCACATAGGGCATTTGAAAGGGTTAAACATTTCAAAAGCACTCTTCTTTCAGACTGTGTTCCTCTGAGATAGTAAAAACAGGTGTAAGCATGGGGGCAAGTCACACAGGTTAACAAGATCCCAGAAAAAGAACCTTGACCATTAAGTCTCAACATGCAAAGTGAAGTAGCAAATAGAAGTAATCATTCTGTTAATTCGGGCTAAAAACCCACTTTCACCTGTTCCACCCAACTAATGAGGCAAAGTGCTTTCTTGGCCTGAATCACAGACTTCAATTTGAACATAAAAACAACCTTATTCTAATTTTCCACCAATAAACTTCTACCGCCAACAGAGAATAACTGGGAGAGAAAAGAGAAAAGCAATGCACAATGTTTTAGTTATCTATGCAGAATAAACACCAAAATATAGGTAAGGCAGAACACAAGGGATTGCCTTAAACACAACTAATGATGGGCTCATTATAAAAATCTTTAAACAGAAACAGAATTCACACAGGATTAAAAAACATCGTATATACACCCATAGAAAAGCATAACTTAAAAAATAACTACATATAAATTTTAAGAAATCAAATATACCATCTATACTCATCATACCAGCAAAAACTACAAAAATATAAACTTCAGCACTGGCAGACTGTGTGGAAACATACTCAAACACTGCATTTGGCATTTTAAATTGGAAGAGAGCTTTTAGAGATCAATTTGTCAATGCACAAGTCACTAAAAATGATCATACACTTTGATGATGCATACAGTACACTTTGGGGAAGGCATTCTAATGAAATAATAAAATAAAAACACCACTATTTTAGAGGGAAAAAAAATGTTTGTACTTCTGCTCTACTTTACAGATAAAAAATGACAAAGCCCTCCCAGACTTGAGAAGGTTATCGCACTCAAGATAAAATACAGGAGGACCAGGTAGATACATAAAAAGGACCTATGAAGTAATAAAGAATGCACAATAACAGCAACTTGGGAGAGGCCATGGAGCTAATCAGTATTAGGGGATAGTGAATCTTTCTATTTATATTTAAGCTGGGCATGATCTTGATGCCTATTTTTTGCTACATAGCATTGGGATTATGTAGACTTGGGGAGGGGTTAATAAGATTAATCCCTCAACCTCAGATTCCTACCAAGTTTTAAGCAATTTGATCTTCACAGCTTTTAATCATTACCCTCATTTCCGTCACTCGGTTGAAAACTTGAGAGTGATGTGTGGAACCTAATGACTCGGAGCAGCTGACTCCTCTTTATGAATTGGTACCCCCAGCAACCAGGAAGGTCCTGGCAGCGTGTGGGAATGTCCTCTCTGCCACCACTTCAGAGTCAACCACTTTTCCTCCACAGGCCTCAATGGGATAGATAGGCAGTGGAAGATTCCATCACCCCAGAAAACATTTCCTCACTTTTACTTATACCTTTCCTAGAGATGAGAGAAACAGTTTTCTAAAGACTCCAGAAGACGGTGAGAAAGCCCCCACCTAGGAAACAGGAGGAGAGCCCAGTTTGGAGGCCTTGTGAAGAGCCAACCTAGCATTGAGAGTAGAGTGAGTGTACATCATGGTCTGTGTTTCTTGCTGTATTCAGGCCTCAAATACGGGGCTTACTGTTTGACACACAGTCATTGGACGGCCAAGTGGCAAGAAGGAAGACTGCAGGTACCACAGCCTCTTACTTTGAGAGCCCTATGAAACACACTGTTTTAGTTTCTCATGACCAAGGAAACTGATTCTTGGGCTCCTACAGTGATTTCTCCTTTAGATCTATATTTACAATCTCCATCCTTGTTGAAAAACTTCACATACAGGTCTGCAAACAACAGGCTTAGAAATGAATTTGGCTACTGAAGCTATAGAAAACAAGATCAATAAAGCCAATAGCATGTGATTTAATGGCCAAAGAACTTCCAAGCAAAAGGAAAAGAAGGAAAAACACCCAACACTTTAACAAGTGAATTTCTTTCATTTTACTTGGCATCTAAAGGTAAAGCACCTTAATTTCCTGAATCCTTAGAGTAAATTTAGATTTACATTTTATAAACTATTCTGCAATCTCCCATGTTTAATAATCTGTAATGCCAAGGAAACATTTTAAAGTATCTCTCACAATTAAACCCATCCACAACCTTGTATAAATCAAAATTTTGCTACCATATCAAAACGTTACACTGGGGCTGTATAACATCACCCACATCCTCATTACATGCAACACTAATTACTAGCAGCAGATTCAAAATTTTCTGCACATTAGAGGCTTTTAGAGGAGCTATAAAAAATTTCAGGCACCATTAATTTAAATTTGTATTGAAATTTCCTTTTGACAGATGGCCAAAAATTACTTATTATTTAGAGTACCAGAGCTGCCTGTTTGCACATTAGAAGAGGAAAGGGAAAAATTAAAAGCAAGAAGGAAATTTATGTCACGTTCATTACCTGTTAAATGTTAAGGAGCATTATCCTGCATGAATAAATTATTTCATACAAGCCCGACTCCAGCTGCAGGCAACTAACTGGCACGCTCTGGCTGATAAAAAAACCATCGAGAGTCACACAGCAGACAATCATAAAAAGCCCTTCTTAACCAGGAACCACTTACGGGAGGACAAGGAGGATCGATGCAACGAGCAACTAACTGCTTCTCTGAGCATCACAGAACACATTTAAGAAAATTAGTGAACTATTTCACCTTGCAAAGCTATAGGACAGCCCCAGACCTGACACAATACAACTTCAAATTAGAGAATGGTACCCAATGAAAACAACTATTTATAGCTAGCATTCCATAATAAATCAAGGTAAAATCATTCGCCTGTAATTTCTTTTTGTTTCCCCCCTGGCTTTTAGCTATATAGACACTCACTTTCAGGCTCATTCTGAATGATTACAGATTATATAAAAATACGCCCTACTCTTGCATGAGGGAATATAAAACATAACTGACACAAAAGTGCGCACTGGAGTAGAAGTATTTTCACAGTCTTCTGGGAGTGAGACATGGGAAAAACCTTTTGTTTAGTTTACTGGCCTGCCTAAAGGTATGTATTTATCATTAAGAAGGCAGGAAATGTTTATATTATGACCTCAGAATAACTAGACAGGTTTTTCAAGGGCTGCTATCAGTTAATCCTGGACATAGCATTTACTTACTACTTCCTAAGTACACATGTAGAAACACCTACCACACTCTGATTAAGAATGCTTTTTAATCTAGGTATTGATATTCGTATTATACAACAAAATACACAACTCTAAATGCATAATTAGATAATTCAATGTGTGCAATTCCAATTGCAAATGTTGACATTTATATAGGACTGCAGATGCCCTTTCAAATTATAAAGACTCTTGAAGGGTAAAATAGATACACTCAATTTTTATTTTCCATTATTTAAGAGCTCTGGCAAAAAAAAAAAACACCCCAATTCCCTTTTACAGGACAAGGAGTAAAGGGGCAGTCAAAGTGATCATGCAAATGGTTTTAGAAGATTTTAGTCTTCATACGCACAAGCTTTGTTAAAAATTGCAAGAGATGTTAACTCCCTACACTCCAAAACATTCAACTGTTGTGAAATACAAAAGGAACTGACAACATCTGTACTTTAGCCAATGCTTGAGAACTGTCCTTTTCTTCCAATCAATAAGTAACACAATGGCATATGTAATAATACAATTATGCATAATACAATGGCAGTTTACATTGCGCCTGGCTCAAAAGTGATCAAAGCTATTTTCATACCTTACTCATTTCCTGACATGGCAGCCTGTTTTTTCTTGTTTGCTTACTAAATACATTCAGATATCCTTAGCACATCCCATTCTGGTGTTATACAAGCACATCCAAAATTAGGCCCTAAATACTTTTCCTCTTTCACTACAACTTGTCCACAAAGAGATACAGAAGGCAGATAAGGCAGATGTAAAACTTAAAGAGAATTAACTTGCTATGCTGGAAACCAAGACGTTAATTTAAAAAATATAAACACACACATATACATATATATTTGTTATGAAGAAAACTATTCTTAAACATTTTGATAGTTTTGTAGGATAAAACTGTTTCCCAAAATATGAGACTATAATGTATTTCCTTATAAACCTATTTATGCAAACCAGATCTTATATTCTACAGATCTGATTCTGACAGAGAAATGGGACCTTATTTTCAAAAATCTCCACTACAACACCTGAAAGTAATCCAAAAATTCAATTAACTACTATTTGGTAAAGTCCACCAAATCATTCTCTAAATCTCAAAGAATCCATTATTAGATTTATTCAAATAATTTAGAGCCTTTTTAAAGCATTTCTTTGTGAATTTTGAGTCTTACCTTGATGGAGTCTCTGTCTATAGGCAAAACAGCAGCAACACAGCAGATAAAGTGGTGGGAAGAAGGAAAAAAGAAACGTACTAGTCAGTTTACACAAAATCATACACTTATCATACTTGATCTCTGATAAATAATAAATTGCACAGATGTTAACTTTGCTGTAAAGTTAATTATTAATACTACTCGACCAGATTCACAAAGCATCTACCTTTGACATAATCTACCTTTGACATAATTTCAAAAGGACCTAAACGCTGGACCTTCTTATTTATGCTCCTTGTGGACTTTTCCACTTATAAAAGTGTTTACAACCATGTGAGCTCTGTACCACAGCATTAAGATAACTGGATAACAAATATTTCAGTGTTTCTAACATCAGAGATGGGAAAGTTATGCTTAAGTGATAAAAATTTGCCCAAGATTATAATTCATGACAATAAAAGAAGGATAGGAGCTTTTAATCATTAACCACACCCTTCAAACCAATGAACCACTCATGTACTAAGTAAATTCCCACAAAGGAATGCTAGGATAGACTTTTACATTTGCTTTACTCTCACTGACTAATAAAACTTATTAGTAAGCACCATACAAACATATAGTCACATCAAAATGTCTCTGCACCGTCATCTAACTTTGTGGAGGGAAGAAACCACTGTAGAAGGAGCACAACTGGCCTTTAAATCAATTAATTGCATAAATAATTGTCTTGTTCTTATAAGAAGAAATTAGTTAATTTCATGTTTTCAAATAGACTGGGTAAAAGAGGTAGTTAAACCAACAGATTTTATTAATTTGGGCTGTACCTTCTACTGAAATTGTTTTCTTACCTGTGAGATGTTTACTGCCCTATATAGGCTCATGTGATTTATAAATAATTGATTTGGTCAAACATCAAGTGAGCCTTTATCAGGAAGTCTTTCCTCAAATAAATTCAGTCAAAATTACCATTAATGCAACACAGTATTTCAAACACAGAGTATCGAGGGATTTCACGAGTGATTTAGATGTGGGGAACATACGAGGTAGCAAGGAATCAAAGGCAGGAAACAGGCCCCAGGCCCCCCTGCCTCCAGGAAGTGCATTACCTCTTCCCAACCACTAGGATTCATCTAGAAATCCTTAGTTTAGTTACAGTCACTGGTAAAATTAAATTCAGAGACAGAATAAACAATGGCACCCAGAACCTACCCGCAGCAGCAGGTAGATAATCTCAGACTGACATCCCAAGAGGATTGCTCACCTCTTTGGTGATCATTGTCATGGTGCTTCTTCTCGTCTTTAATTGGAAGGTGGGATTGACCTCCCAGGGCACTAGATAGGGCCAGAAGACCAGCACTGCTTCCAATGGGTGGAATGGCAGGGGGCTGAAGCCCTGAAGGGTGTGGAGTCAGAGGTACCGGAAGACCATGTCCATGTGATAAATGCTGGGCCTGGAGTTGTTGCTGCTGTGAAAAATCAGACAGAGATATTGAATTTGTCCCATATATCCATCCCCCACCCCAGCAAAAAGAGAGGAGGTACAAATAGATAATGAAAAATCCAAAACCCACAAAGCAAAGATTTATCTTGCCATAAAGGAAATATGTGTCGTGAAGTTGGTAAATGCTACCTTTCTTAACTCAAATTTGGGGATTTTCCACATGTACTGTAAATAACTTAATTTTTAAATAATGAAATTATCTAAGTAACTTAATAATTGAAATTAAACAGATTTCTTTAACAAAGCCTCAAAAACGGGCTTTTTTGAGTTCTTAAAAAGAAAAAATCAGTCCTTGCTATCATACATCTCTAATCAAAACATGTATGTGAATAACTGTTAAAGCGGTTATGTTGAACAAAAAAAGCTGAAAATTGAGAAAATTAGTGTTAAACAGTTCTCCGGGAACTGCTGCACAGCATGCAGGGAGAGTTAATTTGAAAGAGAAAACCTGAATTAACAACCCAGAAAAGGAAACTGGTTGCAGCCACCGTTTTAAGCCCTTTAAGTGTCCTCAGCGGTACTTGAGCAAATTACTAAAGAAAATCTAATGTAGCAAGGCTTGGGTCCTCCTGTAGGCTTGCTCAATAATGCTGAAATAATTGGGCACTCTGTGCACGTTTAGTGATGCTCGAATGAAAAGCTAGCGGCCTGCCCTTGTACTCTTCTCTAGCGGCCGACTCCGTGTTGTGACAGGTTTATTTGAGTGGGACTGTGATGCATGCACCAGTAACTGCGCTGACAAGAGTTTAAAGTCATTTTTACCAGCACGCTGGCAACACACAGAGAAAGCCCTCGAGAGGCCGGAATGGGAGTGCTTGACCTCAGCCAAGAGTCTGCATCAAGCTCCGCTGCAGGAACCATGTGGGCAGGCCTTGTTGCCTTTGGAAAGGGGGGGATGACAGGAGGATGTTAAGTTAAATATATCCCTCAACAGGAATCCCTTCAACTCAAACCCTGCTTAGCAATATTCCAACAGAATTAAGTGTTGAGTAATTCTCAGATTAACTTTTGCAGCGAACAAATTTTAGTTACTGCCTTTAAATAAGTCAGGCCTAATCTATAACAGCCAAATAGTCCCTTCTACAATTTTCTTTCCAAAGAGGAAGGAAGGAAGGGAGGGAAAAAGTATTCCAGTAAGAAGAATATTGAAATGTTTTTTCTTAATACTTGAATGAAAAAATTGAACATTTTTTTTCTCCTCTCCAAATTAGTTTGATTTTCTTTTTCTTCTACATGTCTTCCTGTGTTTGATTATAAAAGTATAATATTAATTAGTTCTTTTCTCCTATTGGCCTGCACCTGTTTTCTGGCTACATACACTTAAAATATACTCAATAAAAGAAACTAGTAACACTAAAGGAAAGTTTACATACATAAAATGAAAAATCAGAGCAGTATCCAGGCACTCCACCTACCAAGCCTCACCCTCAAAGACCTGCCAAAGCTTTTCCTAACTGGATTGTTTTTAAATAAGGTAGTTCTTCATTTGAGTGGCTTTCAAAAGCATGTTCATAATTCTTTACATACCATTGTTTAGTCATGACCCAAAAGTATGAGCACACAATTATTTTCTCTAAAATGTAGAAAATAACATTTATGAAAAAAACATAAGAGCTTAAGAAAATATACAGCAAATTTATTTCAAAACCTTGTTCAACTGAAATAGCCAGAAAATTGCTCTAGTTCTCTTTCTCCTCTACATTCCCCTAATACTTAACGTGTACAGTTGGGGCATGTAGCCACTTTCTACCTCGGATCAGAGTTCAATTGGCAAGCATTTGTTAACGGCCTGCATATATGTCTCTCCTGCCTCCTTTCCTGGACTCAGCTCTGTGAGCCTACATCAACACAACCCCAGCTAAATGCAGTCACTGAAACGGTCACACATTATCTGACAAACTAAAATATATATCTATTTCATTAGACATTAAAAAAAAAAAAAAAAAAAAAAAACTCGGGCCAGCCCGGTGGCGCACTGGAGAGTGCGGCGCTCCCGCCGAGGGTTCAGATCCCATGTGGAGAACGGTTCCCGCTCACTGGCTGAGCGCGGTGCGGGCGCAACACCGAGGGTTGCGATCCCGTTACCAGTCAGTAAAAAAGAAAAAAAGAAAAAAAAAAAAAAAAAAAACTCAGCCAAAAATCAATACCTTCAACCCTTCAATGATCCAGGTGTTTTACTTTCATTCTTCTTCTCTCATAGGATAAAAATAAAAGCACTAACTGCCTCATTTCTCCATCTGACCAGGAACTTTTCAAAGGCAGAAACTATGCCTCCAGTTTGTCTTCTGCACATGACAATCATAGTGAAGACTTCCCGGGGTGCCCACTTCGTTCTCTTCCACCTACAAACAGCCTGCAAGCCCTCAGCCATGTCCTGCCTTGCACCCGCTTGGAGGAAGGAGGGTGCCCCTGCCCCGCCGCCATCCCGTGCAGGCCACACCACCTGGCCTCGCATCCTCGTTCCATCCAACGCTCCTTCGGTCCTCCAATGCTCTCCCTCCTCTTTGGGTGTTCTCTGGCACTGATTTTTGTCCTTCTGCTTGTAAGCTTAATGCCAGAGTCTCTATCATTTTGTTTACCATCTAAAGTCAAAAGAACTCGAGGCAGCACTTTTTTGGGGGGACAAAAACCTCACTGTATTTTAATCACCTTTGTCCTCCACTTCCCTCCTCACATAGTGCCTTGCACCCAACTGGCACTTGATAAATGTTAAATTTAACTAAATTACCTTCTTTTTCCCTCTTCAGCTACTGCGCCTGGCACTTGATAAATGTTAAATTTAACTAAATTACCTTCTTTTTCCCTCTTCAGCTACTGCACTGTGTGTGTGTGTGTGTGTCTGTGTGTGTGTGTGTGTGTGTGTGTGTGTGTGTGTATCACTGTCTTCACACAGCCGAACGTCTTTACAAATTAGGGTCAACCTGCTGCCTCCACATCTCAACAGCCCCCACCACACACACACAGGTATTCCTTCTCCCCTGTAATCTGGACTCCGGCCCAACAACCTCATAAAACTGATGACACTCACACAAGATTGATTCAAGTTGTCAGTTTCCTTTTTCTCTAACATGTCTGCAGTCACAAACAGCATCTCCCCTTTACTGAAACTCTCCTCCCCCTGCTTCAAGAACCACTGAAATGATCACCATGGCCAGCCTCTCTTTAGCTCTCTGAATGCTCCCACTGTATTGCCTTCTTGGCTTTTTCTCTTGCTTTCTTTACTCCTCTCTGGCAGTATCCACTTTAGACAAATGACTCCCACTTCTGTCTCCCAAGCTCTAATACCTCTGATCTAACTTCCTGGCAGGTAATTCCACTTGGCAGTCCAGCATTACCTGAAAATGAAAATGTTTGACGCAATACCCATAAGTAACTTCCATTGGCTCAAGTTATCAGTCACTATCAATCTGTTTTTCTTCCATGCTCCTATATCCATAATCATAGAATCCTGTCAATTCTCAAATAATGCCTTACACGTTTCTACTGCCACTATACTAGTTAGTGTATACTTTTACCACCCCATATATTGACTACTGCAAGCCTCCTAATTAGCTCATTTCGGTCCCAGTGAACCCATACTGTATCACCACTGGCAGTTTTTTCCTAAATGCATGTCATTCTGCACCTTTTAAAATAATCTCCACATTACTTATCTAAGTTGTACTCACCCAGCTCAGCGCATGTTTCACCTGTTCTCTAAAGGCTTCTCCAAACATCCCATGTGTCTACTATGTTACAGGACCCCAGTACCATTCACGGGGACACGTTGCCTCATAAAGGTATTGTTATTCATCTTTTTACGGGTAAGAAGACTCTGACTTGCCAATGAGATTGTGAGACTTTGAAGAGACCAGCTTCAGGCCTCTTTGTAGCCCTGGCACCTAGCTCAGTCCCCCACAGTGGGGATGCACTAAAAAACGCTGATATTACTGATAATAAAATATTTCTTTGACAGTTACTCCCTGGTTCCAAAACAATAGACCCCTTTTATCTAAAAGTAAAAGTTCAAATTTCTCAGCACTCAAGACCTCCTTAAACTAGCATCAGCCTAACTTTACACACTACTGTGCAACACCATCCAGGAAAATCTTCATGCATAACACTAGCCTATTTAGTGAGACATCTAAAACCCTAATGGCTCAGCTTTACTAATAATTAACACACACATACACAGTCCTGTCTCATTTGTCTCTACATATTTAAATTCTGCTCATCCTTCTATGCCAAACCCCTGCCTATTTTCTCTATGTGAAGACATCCCTAATCACCCTGGCTCTAAGTAATTTCTACCACTGCCTCTAAATTCTGACAGCATTGAGGCCAATGCCATTTATGTCACTTAACAACCCAAGACAATAAAAGACTTTTTAAATATATGCCAAAACCCTTTAATTAGAGCATATCTTCTAAATTTCCCACAATGACTAGATATTTCTTGTACTTAGTAGGTATTCAAACAGGTTATAACAAATGTCAACACCAATTTTATAAACTAATGAATTTTGGTACTATATTCTTCCAGATAAGGTCTCAATCTTCAGATTTTAAAATGAAACCAGAATAAATGAAAAAGTAAGCTGCTTAGAATCTTTCATTTGGACACTTTAGGCAGCAATAATCTAAAATGAGAAGGATATTTTAATGATCAAATTTAGAGCTTGGTACCTCCATATGAACAGTCTGCATTTATTTTTATTGTTGGTCTTTTTTTAATTCTTAGTATTATGAATTAGAAATGGGCTCAAATATAACTACCACTAAACTTTCCCTAGTGAACTCAAACTACTTAGTCATATGTCCATATATTAAAGCTTTTAATGAGTTAAGTCTCTACTACATATAGAGTTCCCATATTTTTTTTACCTGCCTGCCTTCTACTATTAACATTTTTCATAACCACAGAATTTACTAAAACTGAGAAATTAACATCAGTACATTACTATTAACCAAAGTATGGAATTTATT